ATCCTCACAAATGGGCCAAAGCTCACAAACAGCAGACTGCATTCTGGGAGGATACCTCAGGTCGGCTTCCTCGTCAGGCAAGCAGAAGACTGCGTCCTTACTAATCTTTAAAGCCCCCCAGCCCCCAACCTCTGCCTCCTCACGTGGACTTGCCCTTCATGCCTGTGACTAAAAAACTCACTTGCAGAAGAAAGATAAAATGGACACGCTCCAAACCCTTGGAATGTTCCAGCCCACCTTACCTCAGATTACCCACTCCCCTTCTCTACCCCAGCTACAGCCTGGGCCTCTGGTCAGGGGAGTGATCTTGCAGAATTCTACTCATTATAGTTTCCCAACATCAAAATTATTGGGAAACATATAGAAACAATAACACACATACAGTAAGAGAAGGGTTGATCTTTCACACAGGCTCCTGTGGGAAAATGGGCTCTCTCCCTGGTTAAGAAAAACATGGGTGTGCACCCTACAAAAAATAAATAAATAAATAAATAAAAAATCCCAGGATGCCCAGAATGCAGTTTCTTTTCTCGGTGACGTGTTGCAGAGCACGTCAGCTGCTCCTTGTTGCTGTGCAGATCGCCCAGCCCCGGGGACAGAAGGCAGCGCTTGCTCGCACAGCTGATGGGATTAGGAGGTGGAGCGGTGTCAGCCCCGACTGAGTCCCAGAGAGCCCACGGCGTACTGAGGTGAGGAGCTGAGGAAGAGCGGCCATGGGGACCACGAGCTGTCTTGCTTGTGCGGTGCAGACATCTTCTCTTGGGCAGTGTGTGTGTGTTGTCTTTTCTGGGAAGTTTGCAGCCTTGGTGGGGAGCAGGGGTTCCTGTCCATAGAAGCCTGTCCTTCAGCGCTTACCTGGTCTCAGGGGGTGGCCACAGCCACCTCACAGGATCCTTGTGAGTCTCCTGGAAGATGATAAATGTGAAAGAAATCTAAAAAACAGACCAAGTTGTGGGCAGAGGAAAGATAGGGACCATTGAATCACAAATGTCACATCCAAATAATTCATACTAGGTTTGGAGGCATATTGATGTGGAGGTATATTTCTCTCCCCCCCCCCCCCCCAATCTGCAATGCCTTGTCCCTCCCCAGGCCTCGACAGGAATGCTGTCTATAATCTTGGAAGGGTCTGTTCTAGCCTTCTGAAGCAGCTGATATTTTCTTTAAAAACCAGCATGGCATTCATGTCTAAAGGGAAAAGCCGCAAAATTACAAAGCCAGACCGTAAAATAAGTACGTAAGTAGGAACTGGAAATGATGCATGGGTCTATTTTGAAGCAGATGAAAGATGAATATAATGTACCGTATTAGATTATATCTCTTTGATGGTGCAATCCAAACGTTGTAAGGAATTTCTCTTCGCGACCCGGGAAACAAGATGAAATTAGAGGCAACATTGAGATGCTATCATTTGTAAAAACTTGCCTTTAAGAACAGTGGAAAAGCAGGCTCGGGCTCCAAAAAGTACAGAGCTAGGAGGCATTTGAGCACTAACTCATCAGCCTTTTCCCTCCGCAGCAGGGTTGCTATGGTGATGAGAGGGAGCCTCTCCCCGCCCAGCCTCTCTCACTGCCTGCACTTCCACAGGAAAAGCTTTCACGGAACACATGTTGGATTTTTTTTTTTAGGCAACCACCTCATCATCAAATACAAAGACATAATGGAGGCCGCTCTTTTCCCTGCGTCATTTTCAGAACAGACATTTGTCTCTGGGTTCTTTCTGCTGTACTGACGGGTCCCTGATGGGGTTCCAGAATTCACTCATTCATTGGGCTGCAATCTATTGAGCGCCTACTGTGAGACAGGACCTGAACTAGGCACAGCCTACAATCCCTGGTGAAAAAAATAGGGAATTCTGAATGCAAGAGCAAAGCAGCTCCTCTGGGGATAAAACAAATCCAGGTGTCCTAGTCTAGTATGTAAGGGGGTGGGGGGGGAATCTGACCCTTCTTGGGGGATCAGGGGAGGTTTCCTGGGAGAAGCTGTCTCGGAAATGAAACTTCCTGTCTCGCTCGGAGTTGAGGAGGATGTGTGGGTGGGGTGCAAGAGTTGCTCTAGAGCACATGTGTCAAACACAAGGCCCGCAGGCCAAATCCGTCCCGCCGGGCCTTGCAATGTGGCCCGCACCGCGCTGTCATCACTGCACTCCGCTGCGTTTCCATCACAATGACAGTTTATGACTGTTCAGTAAACCATTCGGCCCGCGATTTAGGCTGGATTTTAGATTTTGGCCCCTTCTCTGATTGAGTTCGACACCCCTACTCTAGAGTCTAGACAAAGGGACCAGCATATACAAGAGTCTAGAGAGAAAGAGAGCATATACTTCCAGAAAACAACATTCCACAGTTTGGGGGGGGTCATCCATTTGTGGACGGAGGGAGTAGTGAAGGAGGAAAGGAAGGGGGAAGGATGCCTGGCAGGAGAGAAAGGCGTGGCAAGAAAAGAGATTGAGGAGGTAAACAAGGCTAGATAGATCACCGTGCCACATTGAGGAGCCTGAATGTCCCTCTGAGGACATCGGGGAGATCATTAGCGGGCTTTAATGAAGAAGCATGTCTTCATTTGGCCTTTCAGAAAGACCGTGTGCAAAAATGAAAAACTGGCAAGAAAGGAATGAGGCAAAATTGGAAGCAAGACAATTTTAGTGAGATCACTCTTTTTAAAAATATATATATATTTTATGGATTCTTCACAGAGAGGAAGAGAGAGGGGTAGAGAGTTAGAAACATCGATGAGAGAGAAACATTGATCAGCTGCCTGTTGCGCATGCGCGCTCACACACACACACACACACACACACACACACAGGCAACCAAGGTACATGCCCTTGACCGGAATTGAACCTTTCCATCTGTAGGCTGATGCTCTGTCCACTGAGCCAAACCGGTTTCAGCTAGCTACACCACTCTTAAAGTAATCCAGAATGTTTGTGGCTGAGACTTAAACTGAAGATAAAGCAGTCGATGATCCATGGGCAGAAGTAATCAGATTCAAGGCATTATCACCAGAGTGGCATGGAGATCACTCGTGGTTTATGCTATGTGGACCTTGGAAGGGAGAAGAAGTAAAAAATGACTCTCTGGTTCCGAATTGGCTAGCTCAGTGGAGGATGTTTCTGCTATTAGGCCCGCAGACTCCATTTTCAGTTCTCAATAAGGAACTCAGAAGCACCTCCTGACATTAGCAGTTCATTCCTGTCAACAGTATATGTCCTCAGGCTCATAATTTTGGAAATAATAAACTGCAGGAATCATTATGGACCATCGCTTTTCTGAAGTCCATTATCTGAGATATCGATAGAAAGTATTAATTCATTTACCCCTTCCCCCCAGATAAAGAATTCTAGGATTATCAAACTCACTACTTAAGAGAGCGAAGTAGGTTAAAAAGGCAAAAAGATGTATGAAGTAGAATTTCTTTGCAGGGGGGATAGTAAGAAGGCCATTGATTCCACGAATCATCTGAGGCTCTCTCTAGATTCATACTGGACTTCCGTAAACTTGACAGTTGAGGGCTGAGAAAAACGCTGTGGGGAGGACAGACAAATGGGGGATGTTGGAGATTCAGATAGGACTTTTATGGACCATAGTCCTCCCATGCGGGACAGACACTTGGCTGTAAGGATCAGTCTGTCCCCCACCCACACTGCTACTTACAATACTCTCCAATTCTGAATAAATTTCTAATACAATACTCTCCAATTCTGAATAAATTTATAATATCTGGTGATGGAGTTCCATCACCGGACAAGGTTTAAGTATACCCAGGGTAAAAATCAACCCAGGCCCATGATCCAGCTGATGGGGCCTATTCTAAGGCCTCTGTTGGATAGCTTCCGGAGCTTTTTTGAGTAAATTTGCCTCACAAATGATTTTTCTGCCAGTCATGGAAGAGACAAATATTGAACAGACACGTTGGAGGGAACGTAACTGCCCTTTGGAAAGTTCTGTCAGTTGGGCACAGCTCTTTTGTATTCTTTATTGAATCCTCAGAGCTATCCTTTGAGGAACATATTACTATTATTGTTGTTGTCATCCCACAATTTCACAAGGCATATCTGAAAACCAACAAGGTCAAGGTTCAGACACCACATATTCAGAGTTGGTCAAGGATTTTAGGCATGAAGGTATCAAAGGGAGTGGGGTGATGCCTTGACCCCGGCTTTCTGAGGTCAAGGGCAGTGACCTTCCTGCAGCTGTGGCCCTGGGCTGCCTCCTGGCTGCTGCGGGCAGAGTTGGAGGAAAGGATGCTCCCTGGGCACCAACTTGTCCTTCTTTGCCTGGGGCTGGGGCGCTGCCCAGCCAAGGACGTTCCCATGCAAACCCCCCAAGGAGATTCGCAGCCCTTGGGACCCCGGATCCCAGCAGCGGTGTCAGCTCTGCAGCGTTCGCTTGGCTGGGGCCCGGTGGAGAAGGACCGGCCCTGGCGCGCTCGCGCTCTCTCTCTCTCTCTCTCTCTCTCTCTCTCTCTCTCTCTCTCTCTCTCTCTCTCTCTCTCTCTCTCACTGCGGGCGAGGTAATTGTGGGGAGCTGGATGCTGACTTGGGGGACAACTTCCCCCTTCTCCATTTGGCCCGCAGTGAGGTCGCAGCTTATCTCCGCTCTCCCACCCGACGTGCAGAGCCTTCCACCCGGATCCCCGGTGCCCAGAGGAGGGTGCCGCCGGGCACCTCCCAGATGCAGAAGTCCGGAGCCTCGCCTGCCCCCACCCCCTTCGGGTCCGGGTCCGCAGAGAGGGCGGGAGGGGCCGCGGAGACATCGGGGGAGGGGGGTGGCGGGCGGAGCCGGCAGGTGCGGGGGGGGGGGGGGGGGGCAGGGAGAGGGAGGGGGCGGCGCCCCGGGGCGGCCGCGGCGGCGGCACCACGTGTCCGGCCGGGGCGGGGCGGGCGGCCGGGCGCCCGGGGAGCGGAGCGCGCACCGCGGCAGCGACAGAGGCTGCGGCGTCCGCCCCGCAGAGCCCGCCCCGCACCCGCCGCTCCCCGCGCCCCTGCCCCGCTCCCCGCGCCCCTGCCCCGCTCACCTCGCCCCTGCCCCGCGCGCAGGTGCCTCCCCCGGCGGCGGCTGCGGCAGCGGCAGAGGCGGCGCCAGGAGCGGGCGGGCGGCAGCGCGATGGGACCCCTCCGAGAGCCCAAGGTAAGGAGGGCGCGGGGGCAGCGCCCTGGGCGCGGGTGGAGTGGGTGGGTGGCCACTGCGGGGCGAGGAGCGGCCAGGGTGAGCTCGGGGGGGGGGGGGGGCGGATGGAGGGTAGGGGGGCAGGGGGATAAGCATTTAGAGTTGGGGCAAAAAGGGACTAGGGGTGGTGGGTGGAACGCTGGGGAGACGGGTGTGTGTGTGTGGGGGGGGGGGGGGGCATTTGCCCAGGTGATGAGATGGGGAGATGGCCCTGGAGGAACGGGTTTGGGGGGAGGATTGACAGGAGAGGGAACGAGATTGCCTTTGGAGGGTGCATCCCAGCTCCCGAAATTGAGGCTTTGCCATCTAGCTCTCCATCGCCATCCGGGGTGTGCGTGTGTGCTGCGGGGAAAACCCACTGGGTGTTGGGTGTATTGGAGGGAGAGCCAGAAGGACAGCCTGGGAGCGCCCGGGCTGCGGTCCGGGGTCCGCAGGGTGCTGCCTGCTGGGGGGGGGCTGGTGTGCAGAGGGGATGCGGAGGAGACGGGGTGAGGCCTGCACCCCTGGGCGGGCTGGGTGCCCTGGGTGCCTGCCGGGGTGACCTCAGGGGTTCCCGCTTTCTCCGCGGCTCCTGCCCTGGGCGGGCCCCCGGAGGTGCTGGCTTTGGCAGCGACCCTGCCCCGTAAGCAGCGTGGAAAGGAGCAAGAGGTCATGTTTGGAAAGAGGGCTTGTTACCTAATCCACAGCCTGTTTTCAGTGGCAGAGGTCAGAGGGAGCCCTGGCTTTTTTTTTTTTTTTTTTTTCCCCAAGAGCTCCTCCTAGGAATCCATTTTAATAAGGCGGAGGGTGGTGGTGACTTCAGAAGCCCGTTCTTCTTCGATGCCCTAGGTTGGCCAGGCATCTGTATTGACCTCTTTGAGCCTCAGTTTTCTCATCTGTAAATAGGGAGATACATGAGTGTTCTGTCTGTGATAAGGAACAGATGAAATAATGGCCGGGAAAGCACCTTAAAATGGGAAAGACGTTGCCAGGATATTACTTTTTAATGCTTTTTTTTTTTTTTTAAACCAAGACATGGTCCTCTGTATTTGATGCTGTGCTTTTTAAAGGAGACAGAAAAATCTCTTCCTGGGGGAAAACGAAAGCTGACCGTGGTGTAAAAGGTGGAACCATCTTACAGAGTATTGGATTTTTTGTTTGCTTGTCTGTTGGCAACTGGCCTCGTGTGCCAGGCTATTAATGAATAATGGAGAGCCGGGCTGGACGAGGAGGGGTTGGGAGATAAGGCTGCGGGACCTAGCAGGAGGGAACTGCTCCAGGTACAGGGGTCTGCGGGAGGAGGTAGGATGGCAGGAGTCATGTTGTCACTGCTGATTCAGGGACAGCAAAATGGAAGTCTGGAGGAAATCAAGTGGTGTGCTGAGAGTCACAAAAAGCCTCTGAGACAGTCCCAAGCTTGAAGGTGACAGAAAAAGCCAGGGGGAAGGTGAGGCAGATACATACCTGCCAGTGGTGGAAGCGTACATGGTTGTGTGTGTGGGTGCACATCCTTGCTGGGGTGTGTGCTCTGCAGGAGAGGAGGAGGGATAGCTCAGTGGAAGAGCTTTGGAATTCCTCTCAGCAGCTGAGATAAGGACTATGAAGAGCCGGTTTTCAGAAATGTGATTTCTTAGGAACTGAGCCCAGAAGGAAGAGCCTGGAGGTCAGCCGGGGAAACGAGTTTCCTTTTTTTTCTTCTTTTCGCTGTCCGGTTTTGAGAAGCAGAGAGGGCATCGTGAGAAGGAGCTTTCCCGAAGCCGGATTCCCCGTCTGATTCTCCGGCCCCACCTGCCCCAGCAGCAGCACAAAGTGTCCCCCGCCTCCGAGTCTCCCTTCTCTGAGGAGGAGAGCAGAGAGTTCAACCACAGCAGCTCCGGGCGCTCAGGGCGCACCATTAGCAGCAACAGCTTCTGTTCAGGTACAGTACAGAACGTGTGCACTGCAGGTACATGGGGAATGTGTGCACTGCAGGTACATGGGGAATGTGTGCACTGCAGGTACATGGGGAATGTGTGCACTGCAGGTACATGGGGAATGTGTGCACTGCAGGTACATGGGGAATGTGTGCACTGCAGGTACATGGGGAATGTGTGCACTGCAGGTACATGGGGAATGTGTGCACTGCAGGTACATGGGGAATGTGTGCACTGCAGGTACATGGCGAATGGGCCAGGAGTATGGAATGTGTGCATTGCAGGTACATGGGGAATGTGTGCACTGCAGGTACATGGGGAATGGACCAGGGGTATGAAATGTGTGCATTGCAAGTATATGGGGAATGGGCCAGGAGTATGGAATGTGTGCACTGCAGGTACATGGCGAATGGGCCAGGAGTATGAAATGTGTGCACTGCAGGTACATGGAGAATGTGTGCACTGCAGGTACATGGGGAATGTGTGCACTGCAGGTACATGGTGAATGGGCCAGGAGTATGAAAGGTGTGCATTGCAGGTATATGGAGAATGGACCAGGGGTATGAAATGTGTGGATTGCAGATACATGGAGAATGGACCAGGGGTATGAAATGTGTGCATTGCAGATACATGGAGAATGGACCAGGGGTATGAAATGTGTGCACTGCAGGTACATGGCGAATGGACCAGGGGTATGAAATGTGTGCATTGCAGATACATGGAGAATGGACCAGGAGTATGAAATGTGTGCACTGCAGATACATGGAGAATGGACCAGGGGTATGAAATGTGTGCATTGCAGGTACACGGCGAATGGGCCAGGACTGGGCCCTGAGAGCCTAGAACTAGATTTCTGTTATTGGGATGAATTGGCTATGGTTGCACCTTTTTGGCCGTTTGACCCACAAATACAGCAGTTCCATATGGTTCAACCCAATGGAATGTCATACCTGTTTTTATGTTATTTTAGTTGATAATATACAATGCAAACTCTAACTTCTTGTTCCTATGACTGCTTAAAAGTGTATTCCTTTGTTGCCCAGCCCGTGTGGCTCAGTGGGCTAGAGACTCATCCATCCCGTGCACAAGGAGGTCTCAGTCCCATTCTGGGTCATGACACATTCCAGGGTTGCAGGTTTGATCCCTGGCCCCGTTTGAGGCATCCAATCAATGTCTGTCTCTGTCTGTCTCTGTCTCTCTCTGTCTCTCTCTCTCTCTGTCTCTCTCTCTCTCTCTCTCTCTCTCTCTCTCTCTCTCTCTCTCTCTCCCATTCTTCCCCTCTCCCCTCCCCTCCCTTTCTCCTTTCCACTCTCTCTGAAATCAATGGGGGGAAATAGACTAAAAATAAAAAGAAATGTATTCCTTTGTTAAATCTGGAGAACATATCCGTTTGCATTTTTACACTAACAACCTTCCTAAGCCTGCGGACTCCTATTGGCGGTATCCCCAAAGATAAAGCATTTCCTGAACCTCAGGACCCAGGTTTCTCTTCTCAGGACCCAGGCCTGGCCTGGAGTTTTGACGGAGGGGAAGAGGACAAGCTTTGTAATCTTCCAGGCCTGTGTGGGGGATCCCTGGCGGTTTTGCCGTTTACAAGCTGTGTGCCTTGGGCAAGTTGCTTACACTCTTTAAACCTTAGTTGCTAACATCCATAAAGTGGGATGGTAATACCCACCTTGTAGAGTGGCTGTGAGGTTGAGTGAAACCACATACCTGCGTGTACTCCTAGCTCAGTGCCGGGCGTGCAGAGGTGCTTCACAAGTGATGGTTCTTGATGGGAAGATCTAGGGATCAAGGACGTTTCCTTCAAGTTCTGAGCATATTGGTAAACGTACAAATCCCTTCATAGCTCTGGAAGGTGCCACGATAGTCACTGGACAGAGCCTATTATACTTACTCACTGAAGCACAAACTTGGAAGCATTTGAATTATCTCCGAAGTATTAGGAATTTGGGTAAAAATTACACGAGTGACTATCTTACGATTCATGAAAAATGCTTCACAGTGGATCATTTTTAGGACTTTCAGGGAAAATGTCATTTGAAGATTACGCTATTGTTAGAAGGGATATGTGAATCAAGATCCTGTGATTAATGCCCTAATTTAGCAGGCTGTAATATTTCATTATATTTAGAGTTGGTAAACTACATTTTTTTTCAGGGATTTTAAAACGCGACTTTGGATTTATTATATATTGTACTTACCAAAAGAATTCCACCTGTAACTTGTATAGCAGAAATACTGTGCTGCCTAATTTTTTTTTCCTTTGTAAAGCCTTGGGTTATCTGCTTGGTTCTGAAAGAAAATTCTGTCCAAGTGTTACATTTTAATATTTATGGCTATTGGAATGGTATGAGTCTAGATTAAAATGGAAATCACTGATGGGTCTGCATGATAAGGAAGACAACTGACCAGCTGGAGCAGTTAAGACCCTCAGAACTGGAATCGTATTTGCAGAATGTAATGCCGTTTACTTTCGCTCCATTTGGAGCTCAGGAATCACCAGGGGATAGCATTTCAAACTGACGTGGCTTTGTTTACATAACTCAGTTCCACATTTATTACCGATATTCTCTCCCCTTCATCGTCTCTAACTGACTTCAGGGTGAGTAGAGTTATCAGGGAGGAAAAAAAAAAAAAAAAAAAAAAAAAAAAGTGAAAAGCTGGTCAAAGCGGAACTCCAAATATATTTTAGAAAAATACATTTGACAAACCAATAACCTTATGACTTTGGGTCGTGAATCACTCTCTCCAAGATCACTCCTCCTCCCCAGGGGACGGATCTCCCACGAAGGCCATAATGCCGTACATGAAAATCGAAAGCAGGTATTGATCCTTCTGCCACTAACTAGCTGAGAATTGAGTGGCGGAAGCATCTAATGATGGGTGTCTGTAAAGCTGCCTCTCCATCATCAGCCTCTATCCTGTCTCCTGATGGGACCCCCTTCGTCCCTGTCCCTCCTCCTCCTGTGGGGGTGACTCCCCAAGGTTTGGGCTTGTGCTTTTTCCTTCTTTGCCTGCCTTCCCTGCAGGGCCCTGACAGACCCCACGAGGACGCTGAGTGCTGCACCGACTCAAATGGACAGGAGCAAGGCCTTGGGGGGCGTGTTAATGATGCTACGGGAGGTCCACCGGTGGATGGGAAATAAATGGGTTGGTACTGGGGGGAGCATTAAAGCGGCAGGCGGTGGGATAGAAAATGCAAAACAGTCCAGCCAGCAGATGGGAGTAGCTGGTTTTAATCCAGCCACTGAGGCCAGCCTATGTGCTGGTTACTTCATCATGGCAGTTAAGTCAGAGACCAGGGAACATGCACACATTGCAAAAGCCATCCTCTGCTAGAAGGATACTGGGATCTTTAAGAGGTGTCTGGTACCACCATAGCTTTGTGAGTTTACAGCGGTCATTCTGCATTAGCTTGTCCCCTACATAAATCATCACCCTCGCTAACGGGGAAGGGGGCATGCGGAATCAGGGGGAGATGCAATTGATTTTGAAACTTACCTTTCAAGGACTGCAAACAAGAGACTCTTTCCCCCAAATCTGCGTCAAAGGCATTTCATTCATTAAGAGCATCCTATATTCTAAGATACTTAGTTATTCAAAGAAGAATACTAGGGAGTTGACACAAAGTTTAGTTTATTTAATATAAAGGATTATCCTCTCTTTTGAGAGTCTGGCTCTGTGTTAATAAGGGAAAAATCATGATAATGGGTTTGCTCTCCACCCTCACCCTCACACTTTTTTTTTTTTATCTTACAATGACCAGTGACATTAAAAAACGGAGAAACTGTTTTCAAAGTGGCCTGTCCACTTTTACTTTTCTCTGTTCCTTCCCTCATGCCACTTCCTTCCCAGGGGAACCTTGACGAGGAACATTTAATGACTTGATATTCTATATGCTAATTTGTATGTTGTATCTTATATCTCATTTCAGGAAGGAGTTGTGTGTGACCTTTTGCAATTCATTTGGGGTGTGTCCCCAAAGAGCCCTTCTTTTAATAGCTTCTTATGAGCAGGATTTCTTTGAAGACGTGTGTGTGTGTGTGTGTGTGTGTGTGTGTGTTCTGCAATGTACTCAAACACCATTCTATGAAAAGTCTACTGCTTACAGCTGGTATTCAGCTTAGTCACAGAGTCCTTAGTTGGGTACAGTTAAATTGATAGTGTACATATTGGAGGCCAGGCCCTATTTTGTGTACATAGCAATAAAACATACATTTTTAGTAAATATTAACTAACACTTTCTTTTTTTAAAAAAAATATACAAGCATAAGGAAATATAGTTAACAGCAACAAAATACCTGCTTTTATGTCTTATCCTTTATGTTTAATCAATTTTTAACCAATGTTTTGGCACAAATTTCCTCTATCTTTCCCCCCTAGAACTCCCTGCCCCTGTTTCTTGTTTTAACATTCCCATGAGAAGCGATAAAATCCATATTTATGACTTGTGTCACGTGTGGCCCACTGCAGCTAAGTCTCTGTCCATCTCCTCCCCCCCCCCCCCCCCCCGTCTCTCTCATTGGTTAATTGTGTTTGTCATTGTACCAGGACTCCAGCCATTATAAGAAAAGCTGATGACCTGGGTGAGTCAGTCAGTCACATACATCAGTCACCTAACATGGCCAGCAGCGTGCTGGGCATTCCTCTTCACTTAGTTGAGGCAATAATTGCCCCCTTAGAACTGGGAGGCAGATGGATTGCTGGGCTTTAAGCTCATTCTCCTTGGGGTGCCTTGTAAACATGGCAGGTGGAACAAATTATGCGTAGAGAGCACTGTTTTATGGGAGGCCAGTGATTTCTCTGAGTTATTCCCATGTTTCTAATCTGCACACACTGATACTTAGGCAAATGTATGACTTAACCCATTAAACACTGTCTACCCCACCAATACACTAAATGGCCGGAACTCAGAATTCTTTGCAGTCCAATCCTGAGGAAGATAGCTGCAGGAAGTGTTTTGGGTTTCTGCAGTGGCTATGGAGGAATCCTTCTTTGAGGG